TTAGTTTATGTTTGATGGTGACTTTAAAGCAGCTTATTTTCAGACATCAGTACTGTGCTATCCAACTAAATTGCTCAGTTACTTCAAGCCAACAGCTCAGGGACAGGAATTTTTTTAATTTGTTTTTATTTCATTAATTTTGTTGCATTTAACCATAAATTTAAAGTTTACCATTGATGTAAGAAACACATTTCATGTTAAGTTAAAAAAAAGTAAAAAATACAAAAAAATTGGGCGGGGGTCGGGGGTGTGGTACTCCCCTGGTGGGCCACATTTGGCCCACGGGCCTTGTGTTAGACACGTGATCTAGAGGTTTTGTTCTTCAAAGTCCTGGCCACTTGGCGCTTCTTGATATACTATGTATTTTTATACCTCGCCTTCCTCACTAAACTAAATCTGGTGCAATTTTGAAAACAGCTGGATCTGTGTTCTTTTTGCATGCGTGTCAACCCCTTTGGATGTTTACCTGCACACTGATTAGGACTGCCAGATCGCACTGAGAGTTTCCAGCCCAAACATGATATAAAACCTGCCCAACTCAAAATAATAATAATAATAAAATTTAAAAAAATCCAGCCAAAATCTCAACTGAGTTTGTCAGTCTGGTCCTCAGTATCTCAGAATCCCAGTCTCTTCTCCATTTGGGGTGTTTACAGTTGACATTGACCAACACAATTTCATACTGACCCTTGATATTTTTATATAATTTTCCTGCATGCTTTCTAAAAAAAACTGTCAAATGTTGTTAAAATCAACCCACATTTTAACAACCCGTCCAAAGCCATATTTTTCCAGTCCAAAATGTTCAAAAGAAGTCCAGTTGGGCGGAAATAAACCCAGTCTGGCAACAATTTTCAAAAACACTGATTTTCAAAAATTCCAAATTTTCAATCAAAATCTGTAATACTATCATATGATACATAAGGGGTGGGATTACCAGAGTGGCATAACACCACCCAGCCCTTACTCCTACTTGCTGAAAGGCACAGTCGGCGGACGTTAACTGACAGAAACGCATTGATTTTATGGCACAAAACCATCTTTGTGGTGTTGCAGTACGTGTTGGGATATGATTAATTAGTTTTATTTTGAGGTTCTTTTATGTCTTACAGGCTCTGAGAAGATATTTTTTTGAAGATGAGTTTTTGAAAAAATCCACGAGATTTCTCTATATGTTTGTATACCTGCAAAATGTGGAAAAATCTGGTGTAATTTATAGACAATTTGTACAAGCTGACATGTATGTTTTTAACAATAAATAATAAACAGYAAGCTTGTAAGATGTCTGCACTAATTTTGAAAGTTTATTACTCATGGTAAACCATGAGTAATAAACTAATGGTTCAAAAAGGACAAAAAATGCAGGAAAATCTGTGAGGATCAGAGTACAATGTATTTAATTGTTGCACAACAGCATTTCATACATTTCTGCCCTCATCTGCATTCTGTGCCACTGCCATAACACTTTTTATGTCTGCTGTAGGAACTGCTTCTCTATAAATTTCACACAAATTGTGAAAAGCACAAGTCATCATGGATTTCACAAGTTCTGTGTCACACTCATTTCTCTTCAGCAGCCAAAACCGCCGTACCTTCAGCTGATCTTTACTGATGCCACATAAACAGGACTGAATTCCTGATTAATATGCTGTTCAGCAGACAGTCCGCTTTGTAACATGGAACTGTTTTAAGAGCCAGTCTAGCAAAGGATACACTGAGCAAGGATCCAATAGCCAGCAATTGATGCGCCAGTGTCCCTAGTGTGAGGTAGGAAGAGGTTTCTATAGGTCCCACAGTGTGGACAGTCTCAATACCCTGGCCGTCCTGCGAAGGTATTCCAGTGCACCCCATTCCCATCGACAGCTCTCAGAAGACCAGCCCTAGTGGTTGAAATAGTCTGTGACAGTCTGCAGTTGGAAACCTGATCAGTTTTGGCACTAACACGTTCTTCGCTGCAGCACAAAATCTCCTGGATACACAAGCACACGATTGTGACACTAACTACAAAATGACAGTCCAATGCTCCTCATCCCGGCCGAGTGCGAAGCGGCCGGGATGAGGCTCAGTGCCTCCAAATCCGAGGCCATGGTCTTGAGCCGGAAAAGGGCAGAGTGMCTTCTCCGGGTCAGGGGGGTCGCCCTGTCTCAAGTGGARGAGTTTAAGTATCTGGGGATCTTGTTCACGAATGGGGGAAGAACGGAGTGGGAGATCGACAGGCGGATTGGCGCAGCGTCTGCTGTAAAGTGGGCGCTGTACCGGTCTGTCGTGGTGAAGAGAGAGCTGAGTCAGAAAGTGAAGCTCTCGATTTACCAGTCGATCTACGTTCCTACCCTCATCTATGGTCATGAGCTTTGGGTCATGACCGAAAGAACGAGGTCCCGGATACAAGCGGCCGAAATGGGTTTCCTCCACAGAGTGGCAGGGCTCTCCCTTAGAGATAGGGTGAGGAGCTCGGTCATCCAGGAGGGACTCAGAGTAGAGCCGCTGCTCCTCCACGTCGAGAGGAGCCAGTTGAGGTGGCTCGGGCATCTGGTAAGGATGCCTCTTGGACGCCTCCCTGGTGGGTTATTCCGGGCACGTCCCACCGGGAGGAGGCCCCGAGGAAGACCCAGGACACGCTGGAGGGACTATGTCTCTCGGCTGGCCTGGGAACACCTTGGAGTTCCCCCGGAGGAGCTGGAAGAAGTGGCTGGGGAGAGGGAGGTCTGGGCCTCCCTTCTGAAGCTGCTGCCCCCGCGACCCGACCCCGGATAGGTGGAAGAAAATGGATGGATGGATGGATGGATAGATGGATGGATGGATGCTCCTGGACTCAGAGCTGGTCAGAACCTTTCACAGTCATATAGCCAATCACTTTTTAATGACACACTTTTACAGAAACTTATGCCTTGGCACTCCAGTGCTGGACATAGTTTACTTGCACAGGTAGCCTGGCGTTTCCTCAGACATCCTGATGCTCTGCACCCACTGCACATCTGTAAAAAAGCTGCAAAACAAAAAACAAAAAACTGAGAACAATAAAGTCTCATCACTGTGTGGTTCAGTGTGATGTCCAGACCCATGGTTTGTGGTGTTGGTACATTTGAAATAAGAGAGGCCTCGCTAACATTCTATAGCCATAACAAATTAATTGTAATGCCTGTTTGCGGGACTTCACAGCAACTGTGACAAGCTAACATTAGCTTACCTTCTTACATTGTCTTGCCTGCTCATCTTCTGCATGGCACTGCTGTTACACTCTCATGTACGTTTTTGTTGTGTTTCTTCCATCAGCATGCAGCCTTCTCTGGTTCTGTCTGAACTTGTGATGAAAGCCTCATGAACAGCAACAGCATGAGCTCCATGGTTGTTTTTTTTTGTTGCTGGGTGTCCCAAAGAAATTCTATCACTTCAGTCTGAAGCATTCTTGTTTTGATCTTGTCGACATTTGGGTGGCTCTCAGTGGAAAGAAAAATCAATTGCAACAATTATACCTGGCCTGTAGGCCAAGAGATCACAAGTTTTGAGCTTTTGTATTTCTTTTTAAAATTGTGCAAAAAAAATGTTTAAACAAGTTCCACTGATGAGAATTAGCTTAGTTTACAATTCATTTTTTCCCGACAGACAGACGTATTGTAATTCAGGGAGSATTTTTCTCCCCAGTTTTTGTGGAGCGACTGAGTCAGTTCCACTCAGAGGTGGATGTGTGCTTTCCATCAGGCATTTATATTGGCACTGACAGGCAGCGTGATAAATGATGCTGGATAAATCCATTCTTCAATGACTTCAGAGATGTCTCCACGCCATTAGTCATTCACACTAGAGATTTCTGCAGGAGTCCATCACTGYTGCTCCGAGAAACACATCTGCAGACCTTGAGAAAGACCCTGAAAGGGGCTCACAACTGTTGGGGCTGTTGGGCGGAGGGGGTGAAGGGGGAAAAAAAGAGACAGCAGTCAAACAGATGTGGGACCTGGATTTCTGCCAAGCAGCACCGTCATCCTATAGCAGACCCTTCATTTCAAAACAAGAGTGTGAGAGAAAGAGAAAAGGAATGAAGGAAGAGATGTAGGGAAACAGCAGGGAATGGAAAAAGAAGTYGTTCCATCGACAATGATTTTTCAAAACTCT